GTTGACACTGAAGAGAGTCTGGGAATGTTCAGACCATCAATTCAGGAAGGAGGCTTTATCTGTGAGAAGCATTTGGCCGTCTGTGCTTAGCAGCTAGCTTTGAACGTGGTGTGTGGGTCCATACACTGCTTTCAGAGCCTCACAGAATCCTCTGTGGTCACCTGAATCAGCACATAGCTGAGTCTTTTCTGCTAGGTTGATCCACCACTTGTTCTGGATGTCTCGAAGCTTCTGTCGGAGCTTACTGCATGCAAGATGAAAGGCTGCTTTTCTTACATGGCAAGATGGCTGAGCGAGGTGTGCTTGATGAGCGTTTCTCTTCTTTGTCAACAATTCCTGGATCTCTTGATTGTTTTCATCAAACCAGTCTTTGTTTTTCTTGGAGGAGAACCCTAAAGATTCTACAGAAGACTGGAGGATGCTATTTTTAGTATGTTGCCAAAGCATCTTTTTCACTTTTACTTTAAAGCACTTGCACTGACACCTTGCTCAGCACTGGGCTGAATGAGTTATATTAGAAAATGAAGAAATTTCTGAAATTCACTGACCTCTGGCAAGAAGAAGTAATTCTCCAGTTTGCAACCTTGTACAGTATGTAAATGCTTTTTACTGTTGTGAAGGTAAATTAAAATCAGTGCGTAGGAAACTCTCACATTCTATACAATTGATAACCACATGCACAGATTAAATAGGAACAGACTTCAATTAACATCAGCTTTCATGTTTTTCTTGTCATTTTTGAAATCTGGTGACCTGCAAAGAGCTCTAAAAATAATCAGAGGAAAATCCACTGTGACTTAGACTTGATTCTTTATAAAGAAACAAACAGCCTACAAAATCAGCTGGACTAACGGTTATTAGCCAGTCTGGTCCTTTACTGCAGATGGAAAGCTTTGTTTAGTTTGGTTAAAAAGGACAAGATTTTGTGAGACCATCCTACTGCTCTGTAATTGGTCATTAATACAAACAATAAGCTAACACTATACAGGCTCATCACTACTTGCAGCTAAATTCTTTGAATTTTTATGTTTGGAACATGCTGATTCATGCAATGAATTTTCACTGCTCCATGTCACTGCTGCAACACCCAGCTGGGATTTTGTGAACACTGTTGAACTCATAGAGAACAGGTTTTAGTTTAAACAACTGTAAAGTCACTTAGGATAAATACTAGCCAGAAAACTGAGCTGACTGAAACAAATGGGAAGACCTTTCAAAAACGCTACAGGCATGTAAATAAACTGTGAAAGAACAGAGGAGTAGTTGGAGGGCAGAAGACGTGGGAGAGACAGGAGAAGTGGCAGTGTTCAGGAACACTCTAAAATTTCCTATGCAAATTAATGCTAAGTGCTTTAGAGTTCTGAAATTTGTGCATATTTTTCTCTTCAGAGGCACTAAAAAACCCCCAGCATGTGATCTCACTTTTCATTCCTTCAAATTTTTTTCAGATACAATCTTTACCAAGTCCCTTAGAGATAAAGAAAAAGAAGTAAATCCAAGTGTAGCATTTTAAAGTTTCATGTTTCCATAGCAGGAGAAACTTCTATTAAAAACAGAGGACATTTCACCTATACTATAGTGCATATATAAATATATTTTTAGTCTGTATCATATCATACTGAATACAACAGTATTCAGAAAACAAGGTTCTTCTCACTGGCTTAAACCCCATTTCTTTGGGATTTTTTTGTGACATACTTTTACCTGAAGGCTAATAAAATTCAAACCCAGGGCTCCTATGCTCATGTGGAAAAATTTCCATCCTGTAAACATACAGAAGAGTAAAAAACCGAGAGTGTATTCATCTGTTTTGTAGGAGTCTAGGAGGCAAAAACAGGAGGAAGATGATGCCCTGCTTGTGTAGTTCCCATGAGAGGTGATCATCTGAAATCTTGGCAAGACCTGTTCTCACTAGATAAATGCAAAGGTGGGAAGTTGGTTTGTAGAGTACCAGGGAAAGATTTAGGAGAAAGGAATCCCACACACATTGTCAACAGTTTTTTTCACTGGGTTTAGAGATAAAAAGAAAGGAGACAAGGAAGTAGACAGATGAGTGAGATCAAGTGCATTCCTTCCTTTTAAAAAAGATAAAGAGATACTTGATTATGTCTGAGTGTGAAGAGCCAGAGAAAACTGAAGGTTGAAGACGAGAATAGGGAAATGACAGGTAGAACGAGACAGGATGTGAGGTACTCACTGAAGCAGACAGAAGGATTGGAGTAAGGTAGCAGACACATTTCTGATTGTAGTAGAAAAGGAGAAATTCAGATTTGTATAAAGGGCAGGGGAAGCTTATTTTGCCTTTTTTTTTTTTTTTTAGGCAAAAGCTAGCAAGCTCAGTACGTAGTGTTTACATACATGATCTAGTATTCAGAGTCACCTAAATCACGACATCACAAGTACCTGCATCCCGAGAACCTGCAGTGAGGGCTTATTTGGCCTGCTTCCAAGCAGGCCCAGCTATGCCTGTGCCATCCTTGGAGGTGACTGTCTAACTGTCCAGAACCTTCAAGCAACTGACTCTACAGCTTAAACTATCCTCACCCAGCAATGTTTTCCTAAGTAGTCTGAATCTCTCCTGCTGCACTGAAGTCTACTTTCTGACTGCTTCCACTGCTTTCTAACCAAATACAGACACAGAGAAAACATTATTCTCCTTTTCACATAAGCATGTGAAGAATTTGAAGGCTTCTGTGCCCAATTCTTCTATTTTTCCCTAGCCTACACAACATCAATTATTTCCCTCAAGACTAAATGAAAAGTGGAAGAAGAGTAAAAAGGCAGTTGCAATTATAAAAATGTATTACAGCTTTGAATTTCACAGTGGTTGTGTTTCTACTATACATTTGGAGACTTAGTTCTAAAATACAAGTGTGACAAACTTTTGTGATCTCCCAAGGCCAAGGAGTCATCTTTGCTATTCAGTGGCCCCATTTAAGGGATAGCAGACCTTGCTCTCTCGCTTACTAGAACAGCACTTTGGTAGGGCAGTTGAATCTATCACGTCATCCAAATTTTAAAGAATGTTTGCTGGAGTGGGGAATGGAAAAAATGATATGGTTAAAAGTCGATCCCTGGACCAGTATGAAATCAGAGCAAAACCAAAGTGGTGGGTTACCTGTTCCATTTCCATCTAATCCCTGCAAATGAGGAAAACTGTCCACTTCCCAGGGTGAACTGGCTGCAGTCAGATAGGCTGTCAAATCACTGTAGCTAGTGTTTTCTGGTAATTTCACAGATCTTCTCTGAAAGTGAACTTGTGGCTGAGTCCGTGCACCTAAAAAATTAAAAGTGACTCTGTATCCAAGGCGGACAGAATATTTAGAATCATAAGAACATTCACTTTTTTTTTTCCATTATAAATTGCAATAGCTTGAGAAGGACAGAGGCATTAGAAGGCTATTATGAAAAAGGAGGAAAAACAGTATTTTTACATTTATTTTGAACTGCCATTGTTTTTCCGCAAGTATTACAGAGCAAAATTGCGAAAGCACATAATGTCAGAAGGTTTTCTGACAATGTTATTTCCCTGGATCACATCCAATTTCATTACGTGTTTCTTGTAATGAATATAACTGAAATTAAAACTGAGTTCAGAGGCAGGGCATGTGAAACCTTAGCAAAGCATCCAGTTCACCATAGTTGTTTAAACCTATTTCTTCTGAAATAGCCAGATAAATGTAGTTTATACTCTTTAAAGTGATATTCTACCTATAGTCCCAATTCACTTGTGTAATTTCTGTATTTATTTTTTACAAAGCTTTGGACACGATAACTATCTCTAGTATTGAGATAATAGTCACTATTTATTTAAATCACTGGATAAAAAGATTCACTTGACAACATTTGGTGAAAAGAGTTTCCATATTTTCCCATGCAAAAAACACATCTAAACAGAACCAGATTACTTGGTATATAAGTTTTCTTTCTTTTCCTCTGTCTTCTACGGTTCTAGTGTTTTGGGTTTTTTTCCAAGATCCCTAGGTGTTAATTCAAGGGTCTTTGCTGCAACATGATTTGAGACTGTTTCATGCACAATGGCATTTCTTGTCTCATTTACATCCCAGTTTATAAAGTCAATAGTATTTTTCAATGGCTGCTCACCATTAATGCTGTTTAGCAACACACAGCAAGACTCCATCTGCAAGTTTGTGTGTGCAACATGCAAATTAATTTTTAAATCAAAAGCTATTGTATTCTCCAGAGCTCATTTTAAATACTCACAGAACACTCCCCACATGGCACAAAATCAAGAGGCAAGCAGTTTTTTTCTTAATTCACATTTGACTACGTTGTTCAAAGATGTCAACTCGAAACAATTTCACTTCTTCTCCCCTATTAGTTTCTGGCAGCACTTTTAAGTTACATGTAACTTCACTGCGAGAAAGATTAAAGAGCTTGACTCATAACTCTTCAGCTTTATAACTGCCAATGTCATTATAACCAGGAGACTGGCATTTTTTTCTTGCATTATTTTCCAGCAGGAGCTCTAGCTACAAGAAAACATAAAATTCCACAGAACAAACTTTGTACTGGCCAACAAAAATTGCTATGTAGGTGGGCAAGTATCTCAAAAGAGCTTATCATTATTTAGCTGTCACTTCTCTGGTAATTCTGCAAGAAAAAGATATAAAACCTTCTCTTTAAAAAAAAATTCTGAAACATTTAAGTATTTACAGTAGGTTGTCAAGACTGGCAGCATCTTTGAGTGTTTGACATAGTCACTCAACAACACCTGTGTGAAGCAGGAAGAAATCTCCCTTAAACAATTTCTAGACTTAAATGGAAAACAACATAAAAGACTAAATAAATGGACTGCAATGAACTCGGGGAAGACTTATCTCCTGACTGTTCTGCAATACCATTGTAGTTTGCTGTACCTCAGGGACAGATCTGCTCAAGCACTGGGGAACCTCTGACTGCATGGCTAAGCAGGCTCCTATGGGATAAGCATCCACAGGAAAAGAACAGAAAAAAACCCCAACAAAGAAACTGGCATTAGGATTATCACTAACAGTACAATGTCAAATTGTAGGATTTTCTGCTGTCTAAATCTCTGTTTAAGATGAATTATTCAAGTTGCAGAGAACTGGTATTATATTTTTGAAGATCTGAACTAACTGAGAATTAAAAAACAAAGTACCTGTTGTTGAGTCTGTAACACAGTAGTTTATGTGAGTGGTCTTGTGTTTTCTATTAAAAAAAAAGGTTGTTTTGTAGCACTGCAAGAGCCATGAGCTGCCAAATTTTAACTAGATAGGGACAGCTCAGAAAGCCAACCTCAGTTTCTGGAACCCAGCAGGTAAGGCAAAGTGTTCCTATGGCTGACCTCCAAAGCTGTCAGCAATCAGCTTGGATGCAAGTTTTAATGTGGAAGGAACAGCCTCCTCTGTAGATAGTGCATGTACAAACAACAACAGAGTGCAGAGAAGTTAATTCACACCTCAGATCAACCAACTCCTTGATATTGATATTCACCCCAAACCTGTCACTCACCCTGACTCTCCCCTCTGCTCCTCATCTGGGTCTCTCCGAATCTCTCAAGCAACTTCAAAGGGACAGAAGACTGGGAGTTACCAGCGAAAGGCTTGTGAGAGAAGCAGCTACCAAGGCTTTCGCCTTCTCTTACCACTTTGCTATAATATAATCCAATGTACTCCTTTAGCGGAGGTCATAGAGGATTTTGGGGTGTAAGTTTGGGAACAGACTTTCTGAGGGATTCTGAAATGGTAAAATGGAGAGGAAGACTTGTGCTGACCAGAATCCCACGTCAACACCACTGAGAGTGGATTATTACTATTGCTTCTTACTGAAGAGATCTAGTTTTGACTTATAAAACTCAAACAAAACCCAGGCACACTCAAGTAGGAAACGTGGCACGTGAGCTCTCTCCACTTGGTGAGTGACACGAGGTAAAGGACTGCTCAGCACCGATCTTCTTTAAACATCCTCTTGCCCACACACTGGCAACGATTCAAATCCTGTCAGCTCCAGGTTGCCAGCGCACACCTGAAGACAGAACCATCTCAAAGTATCTTTGTAAGGCATCTCTTGTCAGGCCGGAGGAGTGACAGGTGGCACCACATGGGCATTCGAGCTTCAATCTATGTGAAGCAACATCTGAGGTATCATCGGTTCATGCTCTGATTGCTCAGATGTCAGAGGCGGACAGAGGGTACCCACACAGCTCCCATTCACTGAATGCTAAAGTCCACTGCGCCGGTATTAAATAACTTAAATGACCCAGTGGCTGGCAAGCTCCATCCTTTCCAATTACTGGCAGAGCACAGCAGTGGATTGCAATGCCATCAAGAAAATGAAGCTGGCTGCATTAACTCACACAAACTTCTCAATTACATAATAAGTCGCTTGCTTGCTTAATTATTCAAAACCAACTGGTAACTTACTGTACTAGATAGACCTTTTTTTTTTTCCCTTTGACTGGTGCTTTAAGCACCAGTGTTCCCAGTCTGTTCCTCATATAATGAGTTCTATTTTGCTCTTGTTTTTGCACTAAGGTAACTCCTGATCAGTTCTTTTGAAGCACCCTGAAGTTACTGGGAAATAAACTGGAGAAGTAACAGAGAAAAACTGGGTCACAAGGACTTTGAATCGAGACTAGAAAGGCTCCATTCAAAAACTGGTACAATGTCTAGGCTGTCTTTCATTTAGGTTTCATCACAAGAGAATTCCAAAAAGGAGCGTGGGCCAGTCCCATATAATAGCTTTTACTGGGCAAGACTGAGAGTCCAGACCACTTGCCTCCTTTACCCTCTCTCTCTGCTACACCAGCAGAACCAGTTATATTGCCCTAATTTAAATGTATTTGGAACACCCTGGATCAATTAATTGAAGGGAGCATGATTATGTGGAAAATACTTGAGTGTCACTTGGCCTTTAAATGTCCCGCTAGTCTTTTAACGTCTGCTGGTTTTTTTGAAGAAAGGAAGCTGTAAACACGAAAAGATTGTTCTTTTTAAGTTAATTGCATAATATCAGCACATTTGCATAAGAATAAGAGTATTTATACACCATGCTAGTAGAATACTGTTGGTAGACATCATTTCATGTTTTGTCTAACGGAATCCCCTGCAGTTTAACACAGTCCATCGTCCATCTCATTTACCCCATTACATAAAGTCAGCTCTCAAATTGCAGGAATATACATATGGCAGCTCTGCTATTCTCCAGCTTCTTCTGCGCATTCCACCAATTACCTAATTTGACTAGTGCTTTTTCAGCTCCAGTCCTATCTAGTGCTACCATTAATGAAAAGCCTATTGTGTCTGGATGTTTTCTAATTGTAAAAAAAATATATCAGGCAGGCATAATTGTATTATATTGCCTCAGATAAAACAAGGTTATCTTGGAATATTATCGAAGGTAGCACTTCCCTGTTTGTTAACTATGTGCTAGAGTTGAAAAATCATGGTAGTTAAAGTATATGTGAATAAGACACAGTTTATGCACAGTTACAGTGCTCACAGGGATGCAAGTTTTAATGTGGAAGGAACAGCCTCCTCTGTAGATAGTGCATGTACAAACAACAACAGAGTGCAGAGAAGTTAATTCACACCTCAGATCAACCAACTCCTTGATATTGATATTCCCCCCAAACCTGTCACTCACCCTGACTTTGGTTTAACAAGGTATCCTAAAAAACTTCTGTTCTTTTGTTAAGAGACTGACCTCAGCTATCACATCATTTGGGCTAAGTCAAGTCAGATCCCTAGGTCGGACGAACATTTTCTTCTTTTTGTGCAATGTGAAAACAGTGTTTATCTAACTGATCCTACAGTTGCTTTAACTTCTGTATTCGGCCTTACAAAAAGGTGATTCGATCTTTATTCTTCTAATACAGTAGGTTTCATCCTATAGTATGTAGGTTGGCAGGCAGTCTGATAAGGGGTCCAAAGGAAGTACTTATGAAAAGTAAGTTTATATAGGGTATACAACAATGCAGATATGAGAAATTTTCCATTTTTCTATGTCTTACTTTTCTAAAGCATTCACAGTAGGAAGCTAGAAACAAAATAAAACCAGAGAAAATTCTTAGACAATAAGAATATCAGAAAATGTTTACTGCAAAGATGGTTAAATGAGTCTAGATGAAAAAAAATATCCATTGGATACTGAAAGAAATTTAATCTCTAGCTCTCAGACGGCATAATAAAGTCCAAACTTGTTTTTTACCAAGTAACTCAAATTCCTGCTCACAGCAGTTAAGGATGAATTTAGCTGTTAAGCAATTTGGTAAAATAATTCCACAGAGGAGCACTCCTCAGGGAACTCAGAAGAACTCCCCACAACACACCAGTCTCACTCGTGGGATAGAGTTCAGAAAGTATCCGGCTGTCAGGCTTTTTGTTTAGTGTCACTCAAATTTCAACTCCGACTTCCAAAAACCAGCATACCTTGAAATCCTGAGACTATCTGGACTACATCGTCATACACCATTAGAGTAGCTGAGCGTTCAGGAAGAAGGCCGAGACTCAATGAAGAGAACACTGTGGGAGAGAAGTGGTTTAAGTCGGATATATTTGAATTCTTACAAACATAACCCAGCAACATCAGCACTTACTTTCTCCTATAGTTTTGCAAAAGCAGGCCACCCAAACTATCAAAATCATATTGTATACGTGACAGAAACCATGTGCATTTTCTAAATCAAATAATTAAATTTCCAGGGTAATTATCATTGAACTACACAACACATTCTATGCTTTGACTCCTGCAAGTCATGCATGGTAGCTCCAAGTACAGAAGAGCGCAGTGTAAAGCAGGGGTTTGGGTTATAATTCCCAGCTCCACAGAAAGACTTCTTGTTACATAACGAGGAGCAAAACACTAACTCAGCCTGACTGAATTATTTTTCTGTGAAATGGCTATACATTCTACCACAGGGAAATTTTAATGAAACTTAACTTTTAAATACTTTGAGATGCTTACATAAAGAGTCATATAGAAAGGCAAAGTATGATGAATAAGTCTGAATAATTCGCTTTAAAATACAGCATGTCCTTACTGAGTTACCACCTACATTACAGAAGTGCTATATATATAGCAGAACTACTGTCGTTTTACCAGTGGTGCAAAAGGGGACAGATAAATGGCATTTGCTGCAAGAAATCTGCCTTCAAGGACCTCCTTTGCCACTGCATACTGACATTCCGTACAGGGGGCTGTGTCTGTGTGTGCACACATCCTTGGAGGCTGAAGAACATGATATAATTTCATGCCAAGTTCTTCAGACCTAGAAGACCAGAAATATGTGTGGAATTAGCCACCGAGCACGCCTGGCTCCTGCGCTCATGAAAACAGGAAGAAGTAGACCAGCCTGCAGTCCTTGTGCGGCTTTCAAAGACAGAAGGAGAGGAGGAGATTAATGCAGACTAGGAATTTTTTGGTAACTGGGCAGCATCTCACATTTGCCCCTGCAAAGTACTTATCCCATTCTGCAGTGATCACAAGCTGAGGAAGACATTTCCTGAACCAACTAATAACAGAATGGAGCAAGCTCTTCTGATTTTCTGGAGCTTCATAAATTTCCTCCAAATTAGTATGTACTACTTAATCCAAGAGATCATATAGACGTTAGCTACAAATAGGGAGAATGTATATTATTTCTGTTTTAAGAAATATGTTTTTAAAGATCATAAATTTTGATGCTTGGGAGAAGTATAGGAGAAAGGAGGAGAAACTAGGAGAAACACACTGATAAGCACTGCCATCTAAAAGACTGTCTTAACAACATATATGAGCATTAAGAAAAGAAAATAAAAAAGCATGTTATTTCAAGTACAGCTGAGAATTTTCTTTCCAATGCTCTACAAGTGAAACAGATCTATACATCAGGCAACACAAGTCAGAAAACCTCATGGAAGTAGCACTAAGGGCACACAATTACAAAATTTGTTTGTCTTTACTCCAGTAACTTAATTTGCATGAAGAAAGCCAATATAATTTAGAGACCCTGAGGAGCTCTATGCAATAAACTTTGCCAACATCTTCTTCCATATATGCCAGACTATAATGCATATATAAACTCTAGACTTCCCTCAGACTTTTGTGCACATTTTTTTCTCAGCAAGACAAAGGCAGAAAGTCATAGTTTTTAAGGCAAACAGGATGACTGTGATGATCCAGTCTTATTCCGGAACTATAGTCTTCCCTGAACTAACTACTGCTTGATCCAACAGCAGTGCTCAACCTAGAAAACATGTAGAAAAACTATAAATTTTTTTTGAAGTAGTCAAGTGGTAAGGAAGACACTGCAACATCAATGTTCTTGTAAGTAATTATGAAGGCAGTTAAATTATGTGCCTTTTTACCCATCAAAATTTATCAAGGTTAGACTTTCAGCCATTTGATCTTTTTATACAAGCCTGCTAGACAGAATTCTCTCTTATTCATTTCCTGTTCTCTGTGTGGGTACCTGATGGACTATGATCAAATTACCCCACGAACTTCAACTCTGGTGAACAAAAAATAAGCACTTCCAAATCTTTCCCTGTAAGCCATATTTTCCAATCTTTTCATCACTCCTGATATACGCCTGCAGTTTTAAACACTTCTTTTGAAGCACGGATCCAGAGCTCAACACGCATATGCCTGAGTGGCCGCACCAAAGACAAGTTCTGAAATACTATATTCCTCTTTCTCAGTCTTTACCTCATTTTACAGCTGAGGATCAGATTATTCTGCTTTCTTGCAGTGCTGCATTGGAAGGTTATTTTCAGCTGTTCACCTACCATGACTCACATGTCTTTTGGAGAGTCACTGCTTTCCAAACGAACTCTCACTTCCCAGTAATTCCATGAGCATCCTTTGTTTCACCACAGAGAATACCATGGTTTGCTTTGACTGACCCTACCAGCTAGTCTGAACTGTGCTGTCTCAGCAGCTCTCCTCTCTTCACTGCGAAGACTACTCCAGAAACATCCTCTTAAATACAGACTACCAGTCATATATTTTTTCTTTCCAATTATTTACAAAGAAAAATCTATGCGTAGCTAAGAGCAGACAGATGAGCACATCTTCCATCATGCACACTTCAACAACTCAAGTGATGTTAAATTAATGAACTGTTAATAAGTGGAGGCATGGCTCTGCTGATAAATAGTTTAATGGAAAAAAGAGATCTTAATCTTTTCCTCCTACCATTTATCACTATGTAAATAAATAATCCTCCTGCTTAAGTGGCAAAGAGCTAGTAATTATTTTGGTTAATGTAAGAAAAGTTTATTTCTGCCGAATTATGAGAACAGAAAACCCTCGACGCTTACTCCTTAAAGCTACTACAATAGTATCATGAGTTCAGTGGCTGCACAGTTTTCAGCATAAGATTCTAACTAATGCACATTGACTGTGATGGAAGAATCCTGACCCTTTGGCCAAGTCGTGTTACAGCACTTGGAGCATTACCACCCTGTAGCTCTCAAACCTGCTCCCTATTTGTGGTTATCCTTTCCATATTTGAAGTAAACGTATCCACAGTTCATTTGCCCCAGCACACAGGACGGCACATTAGCTTAAACCACTGCCCTGGGTGGGACGCTGCTCAGAAAGGCATCTCTGCCGGGTGGGGTGACAACTACAAGTACTGTTAAAAGGTGTTTTTGGGAAATAAGGATCCCACTGCACGCTACAAGATCCAGATTCAAATGCGCTGCCTGTTCCCCACATTCAATCCGGATTAAAAATAACAGCAACAACAAAATGTCCATGGTTTTCAAAGCTTCTATACTGCGCTGCTTTACAAGGATGACAGGGATTTAAATACAGAGCATTTAAATACGAATAGATCTTGGAAAGTTTTTTATAGACATCTTAGTCAATACAAAAAAATAACAGCCTAAGTATCCTGGGCCTGAACTTTTATGTCATGTCCTTTCTAAGGAGTAATTCAAAGAACAACCCTATCAAATCTACATGGGGTGCATCAAGTTATAACTTGTTTTTTAATCAAAGAAAGGATTAAGTTCAAGGTACAGAAAACAAAAGAAAGGAGTCTACTCCCAATTAAATCAATGGCAAACTATCACTTTCAATGGGGGAGGATCAGAGGTGAAAGGAATCTATTTTCTGAGTTAAGATCACATTTCAACTGCGGAAAGAAAGATTTTGTGGAAACTGTATACAGTTACTGCTCTTTAAATTTCAATGAATTACCAAAACAATAACATCATGTTCGATCTCCTTCCCTCAAAATCAATATTTAAGAAAAAGCCATGGAAGAGTAGGCTGCATTCAAAGGATGTAGGGTGAGTCAGTAGGATATGAGACACAAGGCAAGTAAAGGTTCAAGCAAGAAAAGGTTATTGCATGCTTTAATCACATATGATTGTGTCTTAAGGGAGTGCATGAAGGATGTTGAGGAAGGTGCTTTTCATCTTATTTATGCAGTAAAAAACACCAAGGAATTTTCTGAACAGTCACAGAACAATTATGGCCAGAAGGGACCTCTGGAAGTGACCTGTTTAAATGAAGCAGGGGGTGTCCAGCTCAGTTTTGAGTTATCTTGATTCTGTGATCTTCAAAGATGGAGATTTCACAACCTTTCCAGGCTACCTATTGCAGTATTTGATTACTGCTGCTGTAAAGAACAGCAAAGAACTGTTCCAATTTATTTATTTATTTGAAACTCTCCTTGCTGCAACTTATTTCAGTTGCTTCTTACTTTTTCAGTAAGGACCTAAGAACCTGGCATAGTCTTTGTTAAAGCTCCATTAAGTAGCTGGAAAACGCAGCAGAATACAGCTGAGGAAATGTGGAAGAAGTCAGTCTATCTTATCTGAAGCAAGCAAATGCAGATAAGTAAACAGCATGTTGAAATGCCTAAAGCATAATTCTGAGTTTGAAGAGATTCAAGTTCCTTTTCCCATCTGAAAATACATTTGTACTTGACCTTGCAGCAAGTCACACAGTCCCTCTGGCTATGTTGATATTAATAAATAAAATGGAGCCAGGGCATGGGACTGAACACTGCCCTGTGATCATTCACGTTATTTAAACATTGGTGCACTTAAAACCTGACATGGCTTTGATCTGGGCTAATTATCAAATTTGAAGTGATATTTAGGTGTGACTTGTGTATAATATAAGCCTGGGACCATTCCCAAACTATTTGGACCCTAACTGTAGCTGGAGATTAGAGAAGAAGAAGATGAAAAACAGGGATGTGACCTAGATGTTACATCTCAAGGTCTGAAAGCCACCCCCAATCGGTTCTATTTAGCAGTACAGAAATAGTCTTCATGACTCAGCCTCCCCTTCTGCACAACTAATCTAAAGTCTTCCACTTTCCATAAAAATTTGATGCATTCTGATAAAAGCTAACATGCAAGTATTACTGTTACATTTGTTTGCCTGCAGAAGAAACAAACCATGCTAATTACGTTAGAAAATCCTTACATCTGGATCACATAACTGCAGACTAAAACTGTTCTATGGACACAGCCAAGAACTGAAAGGCAAGGACTTTTTTTGTACTGTACAGCCTACGGTGCAACGGTTGTTGCTACACCTTGGGAGAGAAAGGAATGAGTACATCACAGCTGCTGAAACAGCACTTGGAAACAGCATTCCCACAAAGAAAAAGATCTGGAATAGATCTGCGTTTTCTGTGGAGCTGTAAGAGCACCAACAGTTGTTTGAAAACCAATGTAGCACTGTATCAAGGACAGCCAGAAGAAGAGTAAATCTCTGCACAGCCCTGATGCCACAGTTTAACTGAGGAAGAATTCTTGCTTTTTTGAAACACACAGATGTTCTTCCTCCCACCCAGGATTGCAAGCATTAAAACACATCATACAAAACCGTGTAACTTCCTTTAGATTCAAAATCTTACCTCAGTACAAAAATAAAGATCTCTTACCAGGCAATCTTACAGGTTTCCATGGTGCAGAATTTGGCACATATGCATGTTTACTAGCAGTCACTATCAGCTGATTGCCCAACTTATACTGAAACTTGAGGAAGGCAGTGCCATCTGCTCCTGAGGTTCCAGATGCAATGGAGATCTGGTTGGTAAAAATCTCAATGAAGGCTTCGGTTACTGGCTGACGCGTGCTGGCATCGCTTACGTGGACCTTCAGCGTTACTTCTGTAATGACAAACAACCAGAGTAATTATCATCCACGAAGCTCCTGCAGGAGGCGGCAGTCAGAACATGCTAGCACACCAACGATCAAAACCATACTTGGCTCACTGCTAACCTCCGACACTTTGGTGCCACATATGACCTCTTGTCCTGGTCTGCAGCTCCCCATTTCAGGCTGTCACTCTTTAGAGACACTGCAGATTCTGCCACAAGACAGATCAGGGCCTGAATTACTGCCCCACTGTTAACTCCAGCTGCAGAGCGCCTATAGTCCATCTGTGAGCCATATGCAGCTGGGCAGCACATCACCAGAGGCAGGCAATATTCCCATTGATGGGCAACATGTCAGTCTCACAGGAGCATTGTAATTCTGAATGCGTGTGCTATCAAACTTCATGCTATCAAACATTCACGCTATCAAACATTCACAGATAGCACGGCATTGTCACTCTCTGTAAGGTCCCTGCCTTGCTGTGCCTCTGCTCTGGCCAGCCTTCTCCACCAGCAGCAGGGAAAGGCAAAGGCACAAATGGGTTGTGCTCCCTCATCCCTTCCCCAAAACATTTCTCTCTTTGTGTAGCAAAGAAACAGAGGAAATCTGCTGTGACAGAAGCCTAGGAAGAAAGTGGGCAAGGGAGCAGGCTTGTGTTACAGTCGGAGATATTGAAGCCCAGTGGGAGAGATTGTCCCAGCTGGCATAGGACTTCCCTGGTGATGCCTAACCAAGACGGTGAAATCCCACAGGATCAGGTCCTTGTCCTCAAAGTACAGAACGACCAGAGCAGAGTGCTGGCAGTGGGGAAGAGGAACAAACACCTCCCCTGTCCATCTCCCTCTTCACTGGTCCTTTTTCCAAAGACGTACAAATTCTGCAGCCCCTCGTGACATCTGCTCATCAGCCGTGGCACTACCTATTACCTGTCCTCTCATTCAGCTGGTGTGTATGAGAAGCAAGGAAGAGATAGTTAAGGCCATACAGAAATTGATACATCTTGTAGCCATGCAGTCAGAAACTAACACAATGGTCTACATTTTCCTTGAGTAATTTGTTGTTTTTCCAGAAACTAATTACTTGTTTAAACATTTCCAGATGTCCATATTTGTCCACACTGGGGCACTCCCAGGACTGAACCACACGTTGTGTCACCAGGCCTTCATTACATAAAGTGGAGCGGCTTGTGAAAGACAGTCCCTCTGGAAGGCATTCCTCTATATCTACTATTATTTTCCTGCCTCTCTGATAGTTCCTCTGCCTCATGCTCTCCAGTAGCAGCTGTTGCCTTTCTTCAATGACTTCTATGACTTAAATGCAAAGCTGTGTTCAGTAGACTCAGCAATGGTCCAAAGCCTCCACTAAGCCCCTCCTTGGATTTATTTTTTACAGTCACCTTGTTCTCGTAAATGAGTACCCACCTCCCTCTTTTCTCTCCCACGCTCCCCTTTCTCTTGTTCTTGTCCCTGTCTTTGGAAATTCTGTTTTTCTTGCATGAAGTCCCTCAGCTTACTCCATTCCCCAAGACAGTATACAGTATTTTGCAAACTGCCTTTCTGTGTCAGGGGAATTCAGCCACTAACAATCAAATGCTCATACTCTGCGTGTAACTCATTTCTTCATGAGCAGCCCAGAAAAGAGAGCATGACCTCCTTTTCATAAATATATTTTAAAATAATACATTGATTTCTAAAGAACAGTATTGGTGGTACAGTTTTGTTACATTATTACTGTGCATTATGATTTTAAGAACTTATTTTAGTGTAAGCCCTGAGCCAGGAAGACATAACACCAAGAAGAGTAAGAAGGGATTTAACAAAATCTCTGCTGCGAATTTCAGTAGTGAAATGACACAGAGTATGCTGAGAAGCATACTGTAAGAATATAAAATTTTAAAAGGATGTCAGGATCTAATACAAAAACATCAGCACCTCTCTCCTAAGGGCATTTCAGCCAGAAAGATATTAAGTCCTTTTATAAGTGGAGACCTTCTGTCTGAACCTTACAGTACAGAAAATATAAATATCAGGCAGTCCTGAACAAAAACCCCATTAGAGAAATTCATCATCATTGAAGCCCTCACTTTAGAACTTGGCAATGAAATATGCCAATTTAGAGGGGATCAGCACAAAATATATTCTAGCTATTAAAGATTTTGGACTTGTTCCCAGTTTTGCATTTAGTAGTCAAAGAAAACAACGTATATTCAAAAACAGCGTCCATACACTCTGATGTGCATGTACTGAATGCTTCCTTGGAAACCCTGTCTTGACCACCAAGCAACTTGTGAAATCTCATGCATGTGAAAGGCAACCACATTAATCAAAGGAAGAATGCATTTGTATTTAAGTATTCACAAACTACACGTATTTACAAACATGAGGGCAAAAAGCATCACACATTTTTATTTTCAAAATGTGAGGGAACACACTTAGAGCCAAAGCCAGATAGCCATGATGTTAATGTTTCTCACTTTGAATTGCCTAGAAAAAATGCTGAAGAACAAACGCAGTTAAGAATAATGAGTCATGCATTAAAGAAAAAGCAAGGAAACAGAACAAGCTGAACATTGTGGTTAGTAATTTCAGCAACATGGAAGTTTAGCCTTTTAAAAAACAACCACATATAAGAAGGAACCAAGGAGCTCTGGAATATTAAATACTAATCAAGAAAGAGGATAAGAAAACAACAGAAGTATCAAATTTTTTAATTCCTTATAGACATCCAAAATTCAAGAACAGAGACTACTGCTAAAATTGATCAAAAGGCAAAGACTGAAAAACAAAAATTTTCCTGTATACCCAACTCCAGCTCTCCCCTAGCAAGAAAGATAATAATGGGTATCTCCGATAGGAAATTCCTTTATCCTTCACTCTTATAACTATATAAGGGCTTCTTCTGCATGCTTCTCTCTTTCTGATAAGGAAGGATAAGCGTTTCCAAAATCCTGTTTCCAAACAGAAGTGACAATGACAAAATCACCCAAGATGGAAGACTGATGTCCATAAAGGCAACAGACTGGAACTGCTAGTCCAAAACACAATCCTTGGATCAGACACTGGGCTCTCTTTTTTCTTCCTTTTCAGCATTTAGACTTGTTTGGGGTTTTTTTGCTGAGAAGATAGAGAAAATCCTAGCAGTTTGAACAACTCTAATTCCTTTTCATGCATTATCTTCCCTGACGTGTGAAATGTATACAACTTGCTTAATTCAGGGCTTTCTCCCACGCAACAGCTCCTTTTTCTTTTTATCTAATGCAGCAGTGAAGTCATGAACACTAAACCTGCATTATCACAGTAATTTCCACAGCAACAGAATGATTACAAGCTTTAAACTGGAGAGAAATCGTTGAAGAACACCTCCTCCCAAACAATGAGAGCAATGAGAACAATCTTTAAAGAGAGACTGCTACAAAACCTTAAAGCTATACAAGTGAGTTTCAGAATTGTTAGGAAATATTCAGGCACTTCTTCAAGAACAGGAGGACTGAAGAAGGGCAAGAAGAGTGCAGAGTAAGGACAGTAAGTGATCCAAGATCAGTCTGACCTCAAGTTAGTAGCGAGGCCTTAGACCAAAGCATTAGGTTACATTAGAAAAAGCTGCTTAGAAGATTCAATATTAGCTAAGGAACAGAGTCTTTAAAATATCTGGTAAACTTTTTAGTTGGTACTTTCAGCAAAACAGTGGGGATAAGTCAGATACATTATTCTTGAGTTTTACAGCCTACCACAGCAAGGAGCTGACACAGAATTAAAGACACATGGACTCCAAAAAGGAAGAACAAAAAGTGAGAAAAAAGCAAGGAACACGATGGAGGCAGGGAACCGAAAGCGTCACAGACGAACTCTGAGAATGTGAACTGCTAAAGGGAAGCCTGCTTCGTTCTTCCACGGATTTGGGACATTGTTGTGCTTTCCATTATGTACTACAGCAGGGATATTCAGTTACTAAATTCTGGAAGAGCTGCTACCAAGGTCCTGGAGGAAGGAAGGAGACATTAAGGTGCACGGTGCTGATGCTTCCTCACTGCAGAGCAGAGCAGAGGTGGCTGAGGTGACAGATCCTGGGATGATGAACGCTCCCAGGGCAGCTGTGATCTCTCTCACCTCCTCAGACCAGGTGCCAGCCACACTCAGGACAGGCAGTGACTTGCCTGCACCACTAGCGCATGCCCTGCCATTATACTCCTACAGCAATGTTTCATGTCCAAAGCAAGAGCTACTTACGATAACTGTTCATTTCTAGGACAGAAAACATGGGCAAAGCTATCTCGTCTGGATGGGCAGAGGGCGTGTCCCCGTCTAAAAGCACAGCTAGGAACGGGCCACACTAATGTTAACTAGTGCAAGAGATCTGGGGAACCTTTGCAAAAGCAGCAAATACAGGGTCACGTTCCACAAAGAGATCAAGGCTGCTGTATGTGTGTGCTCAAGCAAGTAAGTCTAGCGTAAATCTCTTTTCTTACGTGTCGCTTTGCGTTCTTTCAGCAATCACATCTTTCTTGTCTTCCAAGCAAGCACAAACCAAAACTACTAGTTACAGTGAAAACAGCTGCTTATGTGTAACTCCCTCCCAGTCTTCTAGTACTAAATTTACTGTCAGCTATATAAAAAAACTCAGCATCTCCAAGGTTATAATTTGGGAAAGTGAAATAAAAAGAGACAAAAAAAAAAACCCTTACACGTTAGCATTCCAATCCAGAATCCCATCTGTCTTCTTAATCTGATTTTTGAGATTTTACTAAGTTTAAATTTTCTCTGAGCAATCCTTCCTGTGCCATCTGCTTTATGAACAATACTGCCTCCTCTGAAATACAAGTAGCTTTAAGACAACTATTTCTGCAGTTGCAACCTCTCTTAGAGTCGTAAGTGCTCGGTATATTGCTGTGAACTCCCAGTTTGGGAACTGTTTTTGTGACTTGTTTGTGGTGGGTTTGTTTGTTTGTTTGTTTTAAAAACAAACTAGAAGTGTTACAGGTAAAGAAAAATCCTGAGGTATCTGATGGCACACTCAAATACATCTGAAATACTGAAATAAACAGAGAAAAGTTATGACACAGATTGGAAGCCAAAGATGACAATTCTATTTAGGTCCCAATCCTGCAGTTTGGTTTCTGTGTACACACCCCTCTGTCAGGCAGACTCCTGACGTCTGCTGGACAGATGATCTCTTTCGGG